GTAACATGATGAGCAACGGGGGCCTGAAAGATTAAACCCGGAAGACAGGCTAGGCTGTGGCAAGGGAAAAAAAGGGGGATCTTATTTGTCTTATCAACTCTGTGTTTGGGTTTCAAGGTCCTGAGAGGAAGGCCTCAGAGAGCCCTCTTCTTTCTCCCTGGCTTTCTTATCTTTAAGAACCCGCTCTCCACGAAGAGGTGAGAGAAGGCCGGCCTGCAACCTGCAAGAAACACGTCCTGCCGAACAGCTTGTCGCTTTAGTGTTGCAGAAAGAGAGAAATGTTTTCCCCCTTCTTTTTTTTCCTTCCAGACGTGGGATGTTTTGGAAGCCTTGGTAAAGTGAGAGGGTTAAAGACAGCACACCGAGAAGGGTGGAAGAGGTAAGGATGCTTTTGCAATCAGTTGAAACGTGATTTCTGCAGCAACGGGGCCTCTGGTTGGGTAGCTAACGTTTTCCCTTGGATTCTGTGTAGACCCTGCCTGCCCTTTAAAAAATGCTGAGTATCCTGCCTTGAGTATGTTTGCACCATTTAGGTCTGATAGATATGAATTTTTTTTTTCAGTATAGAGACGTCTGCTGCATAGGTCATTCTGAGGTGTGTGTGTGTGTGGGGGGTGGATCTATGAATCCATGCAGCTGATCACCTTGTAGCCTGAAGTTATAGATCCCATTCCAAAGGATGCCTACCATGTTGAAACCTGGTGGCGGATGGATTTCCACTGTAATAGAAAAGGCTGTGGGTAAAGAATGGCTTAAAAGAGATAAGGAGAGCAATCCTTACAGAGACAGTACGACTATACTCTTTCCACCAGCATTGCCAGCTTGCCATAATAATCCGCCTCCTATGCCTTTTACTGCCTCTGGAGTTGAATATACTATTAGGTAAAATTTCAACAAAGTATGGAGATAAGCATGACCATATGTTAGTGAGTATACAGCAAGCTGCTGTTAAATGCACTGGAGCAGGGAGTAGTAAAAAAGAAGAAGAAAAAGAAGCAGCAAATCTGGCTACCTACCCCACATGCCTCTCCATCTCTAGGTATACTTCTATGGATAAAAGTCTACACTGAGTTCACCAAGGCTTGCTCCCAAATAAAGGTGCACATGGTTATAACCCTGGGGGCACTGAATTAAAAAAAAACCCACACACACACACAACATGACACCACTCCAGCCCAGACCTCCGGAGTGTTTTGAAAGATTCCCTGCAGTTTTTGGAGTGAAACAAACGTTAGTCCTTGTTCCAGCATAAAAGAACCAATTGGATGCCTTAGGGATAGTATTGATTTGTATGTGTGCGTGCGTGCATGCATGTGCATGCTTGCGTGCGCGCCCTTACTCCCAGTAATGTTGCTGATGATTGCCAAGGCTTTTGGAAGCCTGGAAGTCAGAAGCTTTATGGCCTCCCCCGCCCCCTTACAAACACACACACACACACATACACACACACACACATTTGGAGTGTGCACTGATCTTGCCCTGGTTACTGGCACCCATTCAGGCTGAGGTGTCATTGGGATCTCAGATTGCAGCAAGGGGCTGGCAGGCAGCCAGGGGCAGTCTATTTAAAAGACATGCCTGCTCGGCACTATTCAGTCTCTTTAGAAACTTCTCCAGGGGAAAAGTGCTGGGAGATCTACAAAGTGGAATTCTTTTCTTTTCTTTTCCTTTTTGGAAAAATTTTTTTTTCCCCTCTTCCTTTGCTCTCTTTCTACTGCCGACTTTGTAAAAATCCTTCAACTTTACAGAAAACCTCTTTGTTATTCTTTAACCCAATCGAGGAAGAGGAGGGTTAAAAAAAAGATATTACAGCCAGTCCCAAGCTAAACCTCTTCTCGACAAAGCCCAGCTCTACCTGCTTGAGTGCTACTCCAGACAGCTTTTTTCATTCGTTGCAGACAGTTCAGGAGAGTCAAAGAGAAGCTTGTTCCCTTCTTTTGCTCCCTCTTTAGCCTCTTCTTGCACACTTTGCTTTTTGGTGAGGAGTGTGGATTATTGTGCAACCTCACCAAAAGTATCCTTGGTCCTTTTTTGAAAAAAAATCTTTTTTCCAGCAACTTTTTTTAAAAAAAATCTACAACCTGTTGCTTCTATAATTCTTTCAACTGCCATCGCCTGAAGATTTTGACAGCCTGGTGTTTCTATATATTAAACACACACATGCACATGTATATATAGATTATTATTTTTATTAAGGTGGAAAACTCTTTTGGAATCTGAAGGAGGAGATATATTTTTGTTTTCTTTTTGCTTTGTTTTGCTTTTAAGACCATTGTTCTCTCTCAGAAAGACAATATATTCTGCATCCCTCACCTGCAAAAACTGCGCCTGCCAGCGCCTTGAAGATGCTCCTGAGGCAGGTTATCCTTTTGTCCCTCTGTCTGGGGCTTTCGCATGGGCTGGGCTCCTTTGTGCACTGTGAACCCTGCGACGAGAAAGCCCTCTCCATGTGCCCTCCTAGCCCAGTGGGCTGCGAGCTCGTGAAGGAGCCCGGCTGCGGATGCTGCATGACGTGCGCCCTGGCTGAGGGGCAGTCGTGTGGGGTGTACACTGAGCGATGTGCCCAAGGCTTGCGCTGCCTGCCACGCCAGGGCGAGGAGAAGCCCTTGCATGCCCTGCTCCATGGCAGAGGGGTCTGCCTTAATGAAAAAAGCTACAGGGAGCAAGCCAAAAATGGTGAGTCCTCTCCTGGGCCTTGGCTCGGATTCAAAGGGTATCTCTTGGTGTTGCTCTGCTCTCTCTCCTTATGGCACATCCCCATCTGCTGCCTGCCATGCTCTAACCGTCTTCTGGATGTTTTCCCTAGCATGTTCAGGCATTACCCACCCCATCAGGCTGTCTTTTCAATCCTGTTATATCCAGGGTTGTCCTTTTTATTTCTTTTTGCCCTCTTTGCAGAAATACTGTTCATCTTTTCTGAATGTGTGCAGCCTCTGCACAGTGGTGTCTCCCTCCTGGCAGTGTGATTTCCTTGAACCCTGTTCCTTCTAAAGCTAAATTTTCACTCTTCATCTCACACACACACACAGGTTATACCCTTCCTTATTTCCCACTGCATAACCTTTCCCACCCTTAGTACACACTGCTTTCTTACACCAACGAACCTTCCTCGCCACCTGCTGCAGCCCATAGTTTCTCACTTGTTTTTAGTGTGGCGTCTTCAAGTGCACTGCTTTCCTCTTTCCCATTACATTTTGCAGACTGAGCTGAGGGGCCATGGACTGATTTACCATCATTCTGGAATAAGTGAAGTGTTATATAGGGTGAGGTGGCTGGGTAGCTCAGTGAGCTGTGGCTGAAGAGCCAGCAGGCAGGAATTTGATTTCTTAATGTGTCTTGTTGAAGGAGAACCAGCCTCTGTAGCCTTGGGCAATCTGTACACTCTTAGAGTGCCTACCGAAGAAGGGACTGGTAAACCACTGTGGAGTACTGTGTAACTAGCAAACACTGGGAAGGGTCACCACAGCACATTATTATTTTTATCTTTGTACGGCGGGGGAATAAAACCATTAAGTCTAGAGTCTATGATGATTTAATGTACCAGTGCTTTTAGTACCTGTCACCTTGATCTTACCTCACCCACCCATCTGCACCCACCCCGCAGCCCCAGTGCATGATACTGTCATGTTTTAGAAGCAGTCCGGCTTCCTAGATCTTTGATCATTCAACCTGTTAATGCTTTGTATTTATATGGCAAGAGCAAACAAACAGTGCCGTTGAGCCCCATGCAGCCCCACTCTCCGTACCTGTACTGGCAACCGTGTCCCATCCTCATATTAGGTCTAATGCATCTGAAAGTTATGGTTGGGTTCTTTGTCATTAAAAAAATGAGCAGGTGCAACAAAGATATAGAAAAAAATATATGTTCTAAAAGACATTTTGAAAGCAGAGCCTGGATTCAGAATTTTGGGGAATCAGAACAAACCAACCCTCAGCACAAATCCTTACCCTGTATTTCTTATTGTGTTCGTTATGTAGGAAATTCCATTTTTCTTCATTTCACCTAGACTCAAACAAGAGCTTTTCACTTCTCCTCTCACCCCTATTCCTCCCTCCCCTTCTGCAGAAACAAGGCATCTGCTTTCTGCCAGAGTGCCTGTTGCATCCGTGCAGTGAAGATTTGCAGCTACAGCTTCTCTTTTCCGACACCCAATAAATCTCTCGCTGCTGTTATGATCCCCACCCCCAGCCGCTTCTCTTGCTGCTGCTGGAAGGTGTTGGTTTAGTTGTCCTCTCCTCTCACAGAGCGAAACTTTTCATTAAAAAAAATTAAATAAAATGCCAGGTACACGCACAGGCAGAGAGTTTGGTTGGATCATTCCGTAAGGTGGGACCGGTCTCTGTTATGCGAGAAGAAAGGGGTGGAGAAGGAGATCTGTCTTAATTTCCTGTTTTGGAACCCAGTAAAAATGTGTTAACAATTCACTTGCATGAAAACAAAGTGAAATATCTCCACTGCATGTCATCTGCAGTGTGTATGTGTGTGTTTGATCAGTAATGTGAACATTATAGTTGAATGCAAATACAGCAGCCTGCAAAGCAGTGCACTCGTCTCCACAATTTGGAGTTACAACAGTGCCACTTACAGACAGATGAAACCAGCAGCAGTTTGACTTTTTGATTTAGTCTGAACATGCCTGAACGTTTTCTCTTTCCTCCGCCTCCTCAACCCTCCCCCATCTCTCACACTTTCTGATCCAGCTGTAGAGCAGGTGCTCCAAGATGGTCTATATTGGAGGTAGCCAAATTCCAAAGTCTCAGAGTAGCCATCGCCAGCAAGCATTACATGCAGAACTCAAAGTGTGATGAAGCAAAACGTGGAATCTCTCTCACGTACATACAGCTGTTGTAACATTTCCCTCATGGCTGAAACCTAGAATAACATCATTTACTACCTACTGACTGAAGTTTAGTCAGTCTATTGAAGGCCAGCAAATAAGCCTGATTCAGCCCTTTTGCAATTCAAAAGCTGTTCCTAGTCAATATGATAGAAGATGAGAAATATTGCCATCTTCCTTTCTTTTCCATTCTTTCTTTTTCTGTCATAGGTGCAGTTCTTCGACAATATGTTTTAGCTTCACTGACCTTTTGAAAGAAAAATTGGAAGGAGACAGAGTGACATACATCTGGGGAGGTGGGGATTAGTGGGACCCAATGGATTAGCCATGAACCTGTGATTGGGTTTCAGGGGTCTTTATGGGTTACTGAGTTGTAAACATCTGTTGTACAGGAACTCCTGAAGACTTCAGGATCAGAAGATGGATCCTGATCCAAAACACAAACATGTTTGCCTTAGAAAAATGATTTGGTGATGGTTGCCATAACTATCAAATTGTTACTATAAGGATTACATTTTCCAACATCTGTGGATATCAGATATCTTGTCTGACCTATTTCAAATGGTGTGATTGCATTCTGGTAGGGCTGTTATAATTCTGGACATGGCTTTGAAGCAGAAGCAGTTTGATTACTCCACCAAACAAGTAAATTTGGAGAATAGTAGATTTGCACCTCAATTAAACTTCAATCCAGTCATGTTAAAAGTGGGCACTGCAAAATAATGCCAGTTGTCACCTTTCTCCAGAGACAGATGTGTGTTGGGAATAGATGACTTTGGTAGAACTGTATGCCTTCAAGACTTAATAATCTTTTTTAAAATGCAGGAATTTCTGAGGGCAAGGCATAGGAAAAATAAAGGCTTTTGGCATCAGAACAGTGGTGTGAGAACGGAGAAGTATATTTTCATAGGCATGTTTCTAAGCAACTGGTGAAGGGGAAAAAATGAAGTTTGACTTGAACTTGAAGGCTTGTGCCAGGTTGGCCACAAATCCAAGGAGTGAATGTTCAGGAAGCCAATCCTGGCTGTGGTTTGTCAATGACCAAAAGTGGCCCAGAACTGGAAACTGAAGTGAGGGGAAAAAGTCAGGACTGTATATAATAAATTAAGCAGCAACGTGGGGAAATACAGTGATTACTCTTTGCTCCTGAAACTTCTTGCATTCTGTATTGATTCTGAAGGGTGTGTATGTGTTTTGTTTTCTCTCCTCTGTTATCTCTTCTTGGTGTACTATAATAAGCTAGGATTGGCATTACCTACATGATATGTGAAGCAGAAGTTAATTATTGTGGCTCAGTTTGTTCTCAGTGATTTAGGATGAAACATTGGCCAACTCCAGTCGTCGTCATCCTAATCTAGAAGCCACAGTTCCTTCTAACTGACCTTAGATGATGGAGGGACATGACAGGAAATGTCCACATCCTTTCTAGGATACTAAGGCATCTTGGCCCCCGAATCTGGGTTCCTCCCCTCATGCTTTTACCTTCTTGCCATTAAACAGGAACTCATTCTGCTTGCTGACAAAGTTGTTTCTACAGTGATGATACGTTTTTTCTTTTTCAGCCATCACCCCTATATCGTTTTCATATTCTGTTCATTCCAGAGTTGTTGTTTTAGCACAACATCACCAAGAAACTCCTGGGGAATTGATAATCTGAAAAGGGAACTTTTCCAAGTTCTGGTATTGTTAATGCTGCTAATGAACTTGACTCCAGCCCAATATATATCACTCCAGAAATGCATAAACAGAAATATCAGATGATACTTCCCTGCTGGGACTGAACCATCTTGGAATGCAGGAGTGTTTGTGTGCTCACGTGTATATGCATGTTGTGCATGTTCATATGGTTGAATACCTCTCTCTTGTTGGTGTGGTTTTTTTTTTAAAAAAACTCCCATACACAGAAAGTTGACAGTTCAAGAGGATTAAGCAAGAATCCTCCTCCTTGCTATGCCCACTCTGTGTGGGCTAGGATAAGGAAGCATTCAATCATGGTTGGACTCTATGGCCTTATATGCCCCTTCCAATTTCATTATTCTGTGATTCTATTCCCTATCTTTGTAAAGTTTCCAAAAGAAGTTCTCCATGTGGTTGTCCTAAAAATGTTGCTAACCTCAGTCACTGTCCAGCCCCTTGCAATCCTACCTGAGGAAAAGAGGCTTTTGTGAAGCAGAGATGTGGATTGCTCTGGATGGAAGCATCCCCTAGTGGCTACATGAAACAATAGCAGCTGCATTGGTTTCCTAAGAAACCAGTGGATGGGTGATCATGTCATGAAGGTGGTATCTTCAGAAGCAAAGCAAAAGAGCATAACATTTTTTTTAATTAAAGAGAATAGATTTTGAGACCTGATGTCAATACGTAATTATTTTTACCGGTCATCAGGAAAATATGCTTTATCACCTGAGGTGACGAGGCATCTTGAGATTGTTACCTGTCTACTTCCTTTTCTGTCATTTTACAATGTGTTGTTGTTGTTTATTACATTTTATCCTATATACCCTATCAGGGTCAGTATGAATCTGAAGTGATTTGACAGCACAAAACAACGACATAGTGGGATAAGAAACCTACTGGCATGTTCACTGTGGAGCCTAGGAGGGCCATTTGCTGCTTATTCCAGAGTCATCATGCGGAAGCTCTTCACACTCCATATTCCCTCTCATGAGCCCAAGATGATATATGTGGCTCTTTTCTCCACAATGACTCTTTGAGGGTAGTTCAAATGGAAAAAGAGAGTAGCTCAAGGTCCCAAAGTATGTTTTCTGTGTCGTGTGGGGCCAGAATAGGAATCTCCTTGTCTCAATGGTTCTGGCTAATTTTGTTTTTGTTTTTTTT